TATCAGTATTTTCCATGTCTAGACTACACAACATTCACTAAATTACTCAAAGAAATCTTACACTGCTTTACTCTCCCAGTTACTCCTCTCCTCCCTCTACATGCCTTCATACTTTACTGATTAATATTTACAAGCGTGTGTCTACCCTGTTATTCTTAGAAATAACATCTAAGCATTGCCTGACAAGCATGCCTCCTAAAAGATCAGAAGGAAGTCTGAATGACCCTAGTCCATGGATGAAGCTCATCTGTGTGATCAAGACCATATCATGTTATGGAACACATAAAAAATAAAACCAGTGAGCCATCAAGAAGAAAACCAACCAAACTGACCCTTACCACACCCTATAAATTGCTTCATCTTCATTTCAGCTTCTCAATAAACACAGCCTAGCAGAAAGAATGCTGACATTGCTGGATGTTTTGTTAGGATCAGTAATTTTCAAGACAAGATTGCTAAAAGCCCCCAGAAACTTGGTGTGGTGTCACTGCTGCCCTTGCTGTGAGTGGGACAGTGGAGTAGATTCCTCTTCAGCTCCAAGTTATGCTGTGATTCTCTGCCAGTGTTTTGTGTATCTGACAAGCCGTAGATTTTAAAAACATTTTGGATGCAAGTCCTTCAAAATGTGGAATTTTCACGTGTCTGCCTATGAATCAGATGTGCATTCTGCACGCACATGGAATCCAGCTGGCTTTCCACAGTGCTCTACCGAGGGCCAAATCCATAAACAGTAAACACAGGTGGCCAGGCTGACCTACATCAGCGTTCCTGGTGTGCCTAGCATCTTCCAGTGCATTCAGCATAGCAATTTCTAAGGTGAGCTGCAGGAAGAGCAGAAATTCTTCAGCAGTAACAACAGCAAGCAAGATGTGCAGGGACAGATGCTGTACTGTGGTACCAAAGGATAAGAGGCTGCATTCAAACATCTTCCCTATGCTGAGCCTTTCAAAACAGAGAAACTCCTTGCACAAGGACACTTTTTTCTTCAGTGAAATACAATGTTTCTAAGAAGATCAGGATCTACACTCCCTTCTGCCCTTTGTTTTACATGCTTGGATGACCAGATTTTTAGAACGAGTCAACCAAATTCCAGAGCAGTTTATCAGTCACTTAACAAGCTGTAATACCTTGACTGCATACCAAGGTCAAATATTTCTGCAGTGCTGCTTTTATAAGGTCTTGTCAACATCTTAAATAAGATAGCATTCTTATCTCTGTATCCAAGATATTTTGCAACTTTATCCCATCTATCACACCTAGCATGTATTTTGAATAGATCACATTTAGAAACAGTCTGCATACCTCCCATCAAGATGTTTTCTGTCCTTCTTTTTTTTACCTCTATATTATCTTTTAATTTTTCTGTTTGGCACCTCTAGCATAAATTAAATTACAAAACAGGAACCATCCCAGAATTCTGCAGTAATGTTTAAGGATGCTATAATCAGCTTCATGAAAAAGGTAGGCTGCAAGACTCATTAACCCAGGCTACTTGCTTTTACCATGTATAGTCATACAAGTGGCACAGACTGAATTTTGTTCTGCCTCTTAAAAAAAAAAAAAAAAAACAAACAACAATCTAAAAATGTTTCAATTGATCTTCCTTCCTCTAGTCTGAGCAAGCTGATATTTATATTTTCCGTAACATAAAAGACAAAAGCTGCACTGCCCTGCACATGAATGGCCCTTGGGCCCCGCCTGATACACTATTCTTAGCAGCTGATGTAAGTAATCTCACACATGGCAAAATCCACATTCAGGTTTCAGAGAATGTGCATCTTCTGCTGGCTGCCTGCAGATGTTGTTATGGGAAGCTGATCACTGAAACAATGGAAGGCCCAGAAGAAGGGTGCTCTGGTATAGGTATGTGATATTCCATTTCATTTACTGCTCTGTCCAGGAAATTGGTATCTTTCTGTAAAATTCTTGGCTAGATGTTACAATTGGCTGCATAAAGATATGGAAAGCATGGGAAGCATCACATGAGCTGTTACAACCTTGCTTTGTCTTCTCAACTTCTGGAATTGTTTTATTGAATCAGTTAATGCAATTTCCTATCACATCTTTAGGTCACAGGTCTTAAAATTAAGCCTTCAAATTCTCCTCACACAACCACAGGATAGTCAAGAATGGCAAGGTTGGTAAGGAAGACTCATACATTTCATTAGCATCTAATAGAGGGGAAAGGGAGGAGGGACAACACTTTTGGTCTGACATCACAAGCCTTTCTTGAGGCTGAACTGAGAAGCATCAAGATTGATCAACTAACCTGAAACTAACTTTCAGTTGTCAAGGCTGCAAGACCATTGCTCCTGTGGGACAGTAAACAGCCAAATGCCCACACAGATTCTCATCTGGTGATTTAAAGCATAAAACCTGGGAGATGCAACAGGACAGATTGCACTGCTGTGTTTGTCATGGCTTGCCTCCATTGCCTCACAGAGCTCAGCACAGGGCAAAAAGTACTGTCGCTGCTTCTTTCTGCTACAACCTAAATAGTTAATCCATGGTTCAGCAGGCACATGCAGAAATTTCATCCTCCCTAAACTACAAGGAATCTTCATCTGTCAACAGCAATCTCTTCATTTCCCAGGTCAATAGAAGCTCACTCTACCAGCATGGATCAGCTGCAGCCTGGCAATATGCTGAAGCATGACTGCAGTTACTGTAATTCTTCAAAAAGCTTGGTGCTGTTCACAACAGGTTTTGGCTTTCCTCAGTCAGGTCTGTCTCAACTAGCTTCCTTCTTCTGTCAGTCCCTGGGACTGCATGTACAACACAGCATCAGTGAAATGACAGCACAACAACTCCCTACTGTTTAAAATACACTTCCATTGTGAATTAATATTCTGTCCATGAAATCCACAGTTACTGCTGAAAGAGTAGTCACCTATGCACTACAAAACAGTGAAGTCTTCCAGTGCAGAGCAGCAACAGCCCACATACATAACCTCTGCCACCATGCATTGGAGAGCTGCTACTGAACAGCAGCTGCTGCTTTCACATCACATACTGATTGCAAAAGGGAGAGGAAGGGCCATAAATCCCCCTGATATATTACAGCACACTTGCTTCTCAATCAAATTGAAGCAAAGTAATGCAAGGATTAGGACTTACTGCACTTAACAAGCAACTGCACAGCTCTTGGGAGACTTGTGTCTCAGAAAAGGTAGGATCTTATGTCACTGGAGATCTAAGTGTCTTGGTGTAGAAGGACAGTTTAGGGGACACAGACACTAGTAGCCCATCTAGCCTTTCTTCAGGTTTTCAGAACAGAGTGCAACCTAGCAGCAATAGCAAAGGAAACGCACGAAAAAATCAAAATCACTTGCAATAACAGAAAGCCAGCATTGTCCTACAAAACACACTGAAAGTATGATGGTATCTTAAAGAATTTATATTATATGTGAAAAGATTTTAAACCAAAATGATTTCACTGTTGTCATTTCAGTAGGAGAACTGTGTATTCTTTACAATTTCCAAAATCAGTACCAAACACTGTTATAAACTCCTGACATATTTGTACACTATCCTACCCTTAAACTAATCTATCAATACATCCCCTTTGGCTACCTTATTGGCCAGAAGCCAGTTAGTAAAAATAGTGACCTTAGATCACCTTTGTTCCAGAAGGCTACAAAATCACACTCATCATAGTTTTCCCTGTACTCACTGCTATGTGATGAATATTTATATTGAGTTTAAAGTTATATTACTCAACACAAATATGGTAGTTGTGCCAGCCACTCTCACACCATTACAGTTGTCCACATTCTGAAGCTGCTCAGTTTCTGCAGAACAGAAGCAAACAGTACTACATGCAGATGTGACTACACGTACACGTAAAATGTGTAACATTAAACACCACCTGGGCAAGTGTTCCACATTAATCTTGAAAATAAAGACGGTCAAAACCACATCCCTTTGCTTTTGCTGTGCTTACTACTGTCTTGTGACAGCAAGCTACTGCACTGTCTATCCAGTGCTGAGGCTGCCAATGAAGCACACATGTCAAGACTTGCCTTACTGAAGCATAAAACATCTCCTCTGCTAAATCCCTCCCCTGCCTGTCTTTGTGCCTCTGTGTACACACACACGTGCTCACTCTCTCTCTCTCCCTGCCTCTGTCCTATCTTCTCCCTAGAGCATCATACCATTAACAGGAACATGCTGTGCAGAACTGAGCTTCAGTTTGAACACCAAGAAAATCCGCTTCCCACTGCTAAATCAATGCCAGCTAGTCCTTGCAATGAGAACAGCCTATCCAAAACAGCGTTGAGAGGAAGCGTAAAGTGGCTGGAGGAGTAAGCCAAGCTTATAAAGCATCTGCATGCTGCCCAAAGTGAGAAGACTGAAGTGAAAGTCAACCTTGATAAGACTGGAAAAGACAGCTCCACGTATGGTGTGCAGTCTGTAACTGTGTGAATCCAGTGCTACAAGTGCAGCAGCACCACGTTCCCATATGTGTCCCCTCCTGCTGTTGCAGTGACAGGTCCTGAACCTACTGATTCTAAAATGCTGACCAAGCTGAATTGGCCCCCACAGATTTCAGAGTGGTTAGGACATTTGTCTGAGAAGCCTCAGTTGTGACATATGCTGCAACACTAAGGGCACTTTAAATTCAGCTGGGATGGGAAGCTGGAGGGAAGAGCAGGGTATCCAGACAGAGAAGCTCTATCATTATGCTGCACTGGTCTTGCTTCGTGGATTTGGACCATGGGTGAACAGGACCCTTCCACCCTCCAGTGGCAGTCCTGCCAGCCGGTGCCAGGCTGGGCTGCTCACTCAGAGCACGCTCACAGACGCTGCTGACCGGACAGCCCTGGCACTGCCCTTGGGCAGGCTGAGCACAGTGTGCCTTCCAGTCATTCCCCTCATAGCCCGGGGTCCTCCTCCTCCCGATGCCTTTCCCAGCTGTGCCGGTAGCTGGCATCCAGCCGCGGGCAGAGGGTGGGCGGGAGCGCAGAGCCGGACAACCCCCCAAATCTCCGTGTCCTTACCGTCTCTGGGTCATTCTCAAACACCTCCCGGGCCTCCTCCTTGCTGCAGTGCTCCTCCACGCACTCCCTCTCCAGGTGTCCTTGCTTGGTCTCCTCGAAGATCTGGTACGCTCGCCGCTGCCTCTGCCGCAGGAACTGGGCGGCTTCCGGGGCGCGCAGCAGCACGGCTGGGCAGCCGAGCCGGCACGGCGGGGAGGCCGGGAGCAGGACGAGGAGCAGGAGAGGAGCAGGAGCAAGGACAGGCAGCGGTGAACAGCTGAGCCCGCCTGATCGCCCCGGACCCCCCGACCCCCGCCCCGCACACCAGACCGCCCCTCCGGGGGCACCGAGCATTCCCCCTGCTCGGGGCGCCGCCCGTGGGTGGCCGCGGCCTCAGCGCGGCCCCTCGCCGCATCCCCTGACCCCGCCGCCGCCCTCACCGCAGCCGCGCATCCCCCGCAGCCCACCGCGCCCGGCAGCGCAGCCCGCACCCGCACACACGCAGGGCGGCGGGGGATGCTCGGCGGCGTGTGCGGGAGGCACGAACCCCCCCCGCGGTACTCACTCTGCGAGGAGTCCGCCGCCAGCAGGACGAGCAGCAGGGCGGCCCCGAGGGGCGCCGCGGGATGCGGCATCGCGATGCGGCGGCGGCCGGGGCCGGGGCCGGGGCCGGGGCGGGCGCAGGCGGAGAGAGCGGCGGGAGCGGGAGCGGCGCGGGCGGCGGGCGCGCTGCTACTGCGGGAGCGCGGCGCGGAGCCCGGCGGGGGAGCCGCGGAGCCGCTCGCCCGCCCTGCCCAATCCTCACCAGGCACCGCCGAGCCGCTGCTCACGGACACACCTCGCTGGCGGCGGAGCGGCCGCCCGGCCCGGCCCCGCGTACCTGCCCGGAGCGGCCGCGCCGAGCGGCGGGGGCGGTCACGGGCAGCCGGGCCGAGGGGCGGCAGGCAGGACGCGGGGAGCGGGCGGGGAGACTGCGCCCTCACCTCCAGGCACACCTCTTTAATAGCTCCGGGGCTCATCACTAGCAAGGGAGAAGCTGGCACCGAACCCAAGCCAGTCCTGCCGTAAATTAGAAGCTTGGCTCTCCCCACATACCAACACAGGTTTTCGTCAGAAACACATTTTCAGTTTGTTCCAGTATTTTAGGATGAACTTCCCAGGAAAGAGATTAATGTCTTTTGTTACCAGTATGTTGCAAACCATGCTTTACTGTCCTTTGTCCATCCAAAGTTCCACAGGACACTTCCACCGTGGGAAACCCTGTAACCTAGAGCTGTGGGGTCAGAGCTCAGAGGTGCTCTTAGGCTATCTAGTGCCACTGCTTTAAAGCCATGCTTTTTATCTGTACTGCTCTGTCAAAGGGTAAGTGTGACACATAGCTCCAGTAACACCATGTCAACACATTCTTTGAGAAAACTTCAGTGGCAGAACTTGTTTCAGAAAAAGAACTTGTCTAGTTTTATTTTGTTATTTAGGTATTTCTAATACAGACTTTATGTCTCCATAATAATTACTGCAAATATAATATGACAAATGTAAACAATGTATCCATATCACATAGTTGAAGTAAAGTAGGTGAAAATAGAAGAGCCAGCCTCATTCAAAGCAACTGTCCCTAGGCTGGTATCTTCTGTCTGACAATGGCCAATAGTAGAGATACAGGTAAGAGGTATAAAAACATATAAACCACCATTAAGTGGCCTTTTCTTTCTGTTTTCAGCTCCTGAAGTGCAGAGGGAAAGCTCTCCGGTGAAATCCAGTGCAACCCTAGCAGCCACAAATGTACCACTTGTCTATGAATTTGTCAAATAACTTTTTCATCTGTTGGTACACCTGGCCTCCAGGAGTGGAGGGAAGGTCTCAAATTTGCACAAAGGATAGACAGGAACTTTTCCTCACTGGTTTTAAATCCAGTGCTTAATAATTTTTCGAGGTACTTGAATTTTTGAATTTTTGTCATCTAAGAAATCGTGAGTGATCATGCCCTATTTGTTTCCACCATACCAGTTTATAGACCTCTCTCATATGATTTCAGAACTATCCTTTTCCCTGAACTGTGGAGCTTTGGTCTTTTACTTGTTTCCAAACCCCTATGAGCTAGCATTGCTCAAAGGAGCAGTCCTTCCAGTCCCTGTGCTTTTTGCTGTCCTCTGGCCACGACTGTTTCTTGTGCTAGCATGCTGCAAACTCTATCAGAATAATCCAACAAAAATGATTAATTTTGTTTCAGACCAGTTTCCCCACTGAGTTGCTGAACACCTGCACAAACACCTAAAGGGAGAGGCTTTCAGGGGTGACAGCGAGTAGCTGCAGGCAGAGGAGCTTGGGCCTAATTTCATCAGCAGAGCTGGCCAAAATGCTTCATGAAGCTACAGCTGAAGGCAGAGATTTCCTAGGACTGGCTGCCACTTTCCTCCCTCTGTTGTGTATCCCCCTGCCCATGTCCACAGACGTGGCTGTGCCATTTCAGCTAAATCACCTGGCAGGAGACTCTTCCTTTTTTTAAGAGTGTGTGTGTGTGTGTGTGTGTGTGTGTGTGTGTTTTACCAGGTTACTGTGCTGAACCAGCTCAGTGACAACATGAAGAAATGTGGAGTGGGATTACAGCAGTAAATCCATAGTCTGCTCTGGGACTGCAGCCTGAGCCCCTCAGACAGAAACCATTCCCCACCTTTTCATCCTGCCCTGCATGTTTTCTATTTATACTAATTTTCAGAAAACATGGACAAAACTACATGAAATATTCAAGACATGATATTGTAGCAACAGTCTCGTGCTTCTTTCTTTCTTCTGTTTTTTTCTTACTATTTTCAAACATTGCATGGGTGAATTCTTGACCCAGTCTCTCCACAGAGCCATGAACAAGAGGTCTCAGATCTCTTTCCTGAGTGCAGATTTACCAGTGAATGCAGAAGGTGAGAGCTATCTTTCATGGGTGTGTCACTTTGTGTGTCTATATATTAAATTTTGCTTATCATTTTTTACCCTGTCACATGAAGAGTGTTATCAAGTGATACAGCCAAGCCAACTGAACAGCTTCTTGCTACCAAAACAGGTTGTCCCACTCTGCCTTCCCTCTAAGCTTCCACCTTATCCCTGGATGTACAGTCTTTGTACACTTTTGTCACTGATGTGACCTCTCTGCAAGTAAATTCAACTCACTAAGTCAAGATAGAAGTTGAGGTTTTTTGATAAAAGTTGAGGGTTTTTGCTAAAAGTCTCCTGATATTCTTGAATACCAATTTAAATTTTGTCTGTTCAGATGAATTTTGTATTATCTGCCAACTGACCTCATGGCATTAAGTTTCTCCATAAAATTTCTGAAGATGTTGAACAGCAGAAATTTTTGTGGGTTCTGGAAACTGAATTATATTGTGTAATCTAATGATGAGTTTTCTTTCTTTCAGATTTTTTTTTATCCTTTTCTGTTTATCCCATATGATCACACTTTGAGAGCATATGGTAAAAGACCAGCTCAAAAATTTTTTAAAATCCAAATATCTAATATTATCAGAACCATCCTTGTCTAAATAAATATCATTCCTTGAATCTCAAATGGTTTTGCAAAACAAGACATCCTTCTTGGTATGCAATGCTGATTCTTCTCCAACATATCATTCAGTTCACCAGTTCTATTCTTTCTTATGTTTTCCAGTAAGTTACTTGGCAGAGACATCAAACACTGATTTTGGTGAGCTCAGAAGTCTCTTCAATAGTTGTATTTTCCACCTTCCATTTTTCTGGCATGGTAGCATTTAAGGCAGATTTAAGCAATGAGTTGAATAAAGTAACAGTTTAATTTTCTTCAGAACTAATGGATTTCTTTTTTTGTTATCTGGTTACAGCTGTCTCAGTAATGTCTTAGGGAACATGAAAAACAGCATAGAAAAATAATGCTGAAAATATTAAAACAATGTTACATGAACTGCTTGTGCTTTCAGCATGTCCCATTTTAGACTCTCTTTTGATTTTAGACTAATCTAGACACAGATGTTTCCAAATATAAATCTGAACCTGTAGGATTAGTTTCCATTGGTTTTTAGACACTAACCAGAAATATGCACAAAATCGAACAAGTTTTGAGAGAAGTAACTAAAAATACAACTCGAAGATGTTCATTAAGGATCAAAAATCTAAAAGTGGTTCATTAGGTCACACACCTTGAGACACTTACTCCGAATTCCAGCTGATGTCCTTTGCTTTCTCTTCCTTAATTAATCCCAAAAGAAACCAGTGTGTAGTGTGCAGAAAAGCTGCAGAGGTGTAGCAGAAGGTTTAACTGAGCAAAGTTCATTTAGGTTCCTGCCACTAGTTACATTTGTAGTCACGAAAGTGTAGAATGAAACTAAAATGTCCTGAGAAGAATACACAGGCCTCACAACTTTAGAGCTGAAGAAGCAGGGCAATGGAGCAGGTGAAGGGTCTGGAGCACAAGTCTTGTGAGGAGCAGCTGAGGGGGCTGGGGTTGTTTAACCTGGAGCAAAGGAGGCTCAGGGGGCACCTACAACCACAACTACCTGAAAGGAGGTCGTAGTGAGGTGGAGGTCAGTCTCTTCTCCCAGTTAACAAAACACTGAACAAGAGGAAATGGCCTGACGTTGTGCCAGGGGAAATTTAGATTGGATATTGGGAAAAATTTCTTCATGGTAATAACAGTCTGGCATTGGCACAGACTGCCCAGGGAAATAGCAGAATCATCACCCCTGGAAGCATTCCAAAAATGTGTGGTTGTGGCACTTGGGGACACAATTCAGTGGTGGACCTGGAAGTGCTGCATTGCCAGTTGGATTTGATGATCTTAGAGTTTTTTCCCAACCTAAACAATTCTATGATTCTATGTGGACAAGAGGAAGGGATTCCCAAGCCTGCCCTTCCTTCCTTCTGTCAGTCCTCTAGCCAGAGACACTGTGAGGTGCATGTTCTTGACTTGTGAAGGACCCTCTCTTCTGTGTAAAGTACTTTTCTCACCTCAAGGAAAAATTGGTTAGACACGTCCTATGAGTTGTCCCACAAGGACAAAGTATCTCAGATTTTAGAGCAAGCAACTGCTTCACATGCTCATTCCACATTCATTTCCTGTTATTTTTCCTTTGAAAGTATTCCTAAGGTGTCATTCCTATATTTGCTTGTATTTTACGAGTGGAAGGATATGAGATTACCTCAGAATATTTAAGAAATTAAATTATTGTGGAAGGCAGCATACTTAATCAGAAAATCCCTCTGAGAGTAAGAAGAGCTGATTCCATGATCCTTGGCCTGAGTGCAGTACAGGTTGGCCATATGCCAATTATATTCAGCACATTAAGATCTGGAACTTGCTGCTTAGTTGTCAACTATAATTCACGGACTGATGCCAGGAGATAAACTTCAAGGGCAAGGAAGTTCTGAACTGTCATCTTGTTCTCTCTGTGCCTGTGTCTTGGTTCCAGGTGAATGAGATTTCCTTTCATTAGAGCCTAAAATGGTGGCTGAAAATGTCTTTAGGTACTAGCAAAACCAAATTGCTTACCTGGACAGTGGCACTCCCTCTGCACCAAGCAAGACAGCGAGCAAACTCCTGGGCAGAACTGGCACTGCCATCCACAGGTGAGCTCTCAGACTAAATGGCACCAACAAAAAGCACAGACCTCCTGCC